CTTAATTTGTTCTTGTTCAGCCAATTCTACTAACTTGTTTTTAAAGGCCTTTATTGGTTTAGTCAAGAGAGTAAAAGACTTCTGGATGGGAAGAGATCTGCGAAATCATTCAGAGGCTTTGTTGTACGCTTTACGGCCCCTCCTTTCATCTGGAACTGTACGTTAAATCAATCTGTTGAGTCTTGGCAGATGCGTTGTTTTCTTTTCCAGTAAACCAATGGCACTACATTTCATTATGTTTTTTACAGGTTCTCAACATCACTTTTTCCCTTCCTTTGGATGGCATTTTCATAATTTCCCTTAGCACCAGAATTTAGGTTTAATATTTAGCATTTTGTCTTTTTCTTTTTTTTTTCCCCTGACTTGAAGCAGAGTCCACCTTAGTTAACTGCAGCATTTATTCGCTGCCTGAGTAATCTTGCATGCTTGCTTTCTTATTACTGCCTGTACAAACTGAAGGCATCGCAGGTTCAGAAATTAACTCAGTCAGGTAATGTTTCCAAACCATTCCAAGCAGAGAATTTAAAGAATCAAAAAATAAACCCCAGCTAAACACAGGAATTACAAAAGCCTGTTCTGCTCACAGGCAATGCGCCAGCATAGCTCCTCTGGACAGCAGTACAACCAAGATTGAGACCACAGTGCCTCTACAACGCACCGTGCCATATTTGTTGTTAAACTGCTGACAGTGCTGCCACAATTATGCACAGACGTCTTGTAAATATGCAAGAAACCAGCTAACTATGGTTATTTATGCATGCAATAAACAGTTATGAAAAGCAAAGGAAATGTGCAATTGCCTGTGCATGTGCTGCTTCTGAAAACTGGGTTTCAGCGCTCAGTGGAAAAACAGTTCTCTCTAGGACCCTATTTATGGCAGGAGGAAATTTTCAGTGAATTAAATCAAATTAAGAGCTATCCCTTTATGCTGAACAAAATGAATAGGACATATATATACTGATGCAGGTCACAGAACACATCCTCAGCTTGAAAAGCTCTGGGTAACCCTGTCCTTTCCAAGGCCAGCTCTAGGTGTCACTGTGGGAGCTGAATGTGATGCTCCTTCCCATCCATGGATTTGTTCCATTTAAACTTTAACATCAAGAAAATGTCACCTTGGTGCTCCCTGCTCTTGGGAATTGCTTCTGTCACCGTTTTCATTTTAAAATAACACTGCACATTACAGAGTCGTGTGAGCGGTTCTGGTAGATGGCGGGGGATCAATCTGGCCACCACTCTCCTCCATAAATAATGCAAGCTGAGCATAGAAATTACAGTGTGGCTGGGAAAGTGGTTTAGCTGCAGTTTGGATATAATTACTGTAGGTACCAAGAACCCGCACAACGAATCACCTAATTCTATTAGAGCCAAAGCAAATCTGAATACTGGGAAGAAACTGGATAAAGCAGTATTCCATTTCATCTAATGCATGTAAGCTTGTATATTTAATTGTCCACTTGCAAAAAGAAGCCTGAAGATTGGGCATTATGAAGATTTCCATTTATTTTATACTTCTAACCTGGCATCTTTGCAGCTGCCTTAAAAAAAAACAAAGGCAAAACAACAAAAATTGGCTATAAGGAAAAAAACCAGACAAATCAGAAAGTATGGAGGAATATGCAAAAGAAAGTTAGCAGCCCTATAAATGTACTTTGGTCAAATATATTACTCTCTATTAATCAGATTACATGCTTTTGAATCCTTGCTGCTCTGCAGTACAGCCGAAAACTGGCAGGTATTATTTTAAAACATATATTTTTAAACACCCAAAGACAACATAAGAGATGCCACACCATATAAAAAAAATTGTATTAACAATACGCTCTTTCTTGCTTTGTAACCTTACTCAAAGCTCCCGAAATCCCACAAGAGGCAGGCAGTGGATGCTACCAGCAAAATTCAGAGCCTGGTATCTTTATATTGGCAAAAGTCCCCTTCTATCTGCATAGGCTTGATTTTAGACTGGGATTTATGTGTAGAAATCATTCCCTGTCAGTTCCCACAGCGACCGATACCAATACCAAATGTACCTCATGTTTTAGTTAAGGGAAATTATAGTGAATCACTGATAGAAACCATGGTGCTCTGTTTTTGTTAGGGGCACAGGAGGCCCCACCGTGCTCTGAAGAGCCTTGTTCAAACATTAACAGAGAGACAATCCCATAGGAAATCGCTAATAACAATCATAAATCTTCCTCTGTGGGCCCGTGGCCCTTTCCCCCCGTTGATCTGCAAGCTCTATCAAAACCGTAATTAATGGAAACCTCATGACACAAATATATGACATTAGATGAAATCATAGCCCCAGGGAAGTAAATGGCGAAACTTCCACTTACGTCAACAGGGTCAGGATTTCACTCCTATTTTTTATGATAACCATTCTTCTGCTAGGTTAACTGAAACATAGAGAGGTTAAGCAACATGCCCGGAAGCGCAAGTGAAGATTGAGCCCAGAAGACCAAGTGAAGAGCGAGTACTAAACTATTATTTCTCATTCCTACCTCCCTTTTTCTTCCACGAGCTTCTACATCCCTACATCAACCTTAACCATCACACTGCTCTGCAGGAGCGACAGGCTTCATGGATTGAACGCTGCTGAGTTTTCTGCAAACACTGCTCTCCTCCTGCGTAGACAACGCGGCTGAGCTCTAAAGTGTTATAGAGGTAAATAGAGATCGGTACGCTTAGCAGCCGTGCAGTACAAACCACCACTATGGCCAGTGCATTTTGTGCAAACCTCAATAGCTGAGCCAGGAGATGGTTTGGTTGAGCACCACCTCTGCACAGAGCTGGGGACAGCCTGGGCACTGCCTGGGGCACGGCTGCTCTCTGCGGGGGGAAGCCTACATCTTTTCCTCCTCGATGGATGCGTTCAAAGAGCAACATTAACACACGTGCTATAAAGTGCTGGCTCAATGCCCGTTCACACATGTCACTAATATTCCAGAAATCAGTTGGTATTGAGGGGCGAGGCCAGGGAAGGCGAGGGCTATGTCAAGGAGAAAATCACCCAGGCCATGTCCGTACAGCACCCTCATTACTCTCCAGCGCAGACCAGAGGAGCACGGGCAGAGTCTGCTGCTACCTGCCGTGCCACATCTGAGCGAGAGAAGGGAACCTACGTGGCTTAACTGTCAAACCTGAGCTCCTTAATGAATCACTCCAATCCAGAGTTTTAGGGACAGACAACCCATCACAGGTAATAAATAAGCCTGTACTTGTCGTCTTTCAAGAGCTAGGTGTCCAGTGGACCACTGAATCCAACCCGTGGGATGGCACCCGGGTACCTCAAGCTGCTTTATCCAAAATCCTGCCCCAGCAGAGCTCAGAGCAGAGCTGTGCGCTGAGTGCAGCCACCGGGCAGCTCGATTCATGGAGGCCAAGCTCTCCTGTGGCATCCTGCGTTTCACACCTACTCCATCCGGATCAGCTAAATCAGCCCACTCTTTATGACCAAGGATCTCCCTTATTCCTGCTCAGCAGCCGCTGTGATTCACACGATGGAAAATGTAAACCTTGGAGCTGCTAGTGCTATTCTTGCTCAGGCCATTTCCT